TTTGTTCACATATGTTCTTTGAAATTGTAAATTTAAAAATTTAATTTTTTATCATGATTAATCACAACCCCTTATTGTAAGAATCAATAACAAAGTTAATACAATAATCTTTGTTAACATTTGAACCAAACCATATATATATATATATATATATATATATGTGTGTGTGTGTGGGGGGGGGGAGGATTTAGCCGGTATCATACGATTATTATGAGAACGAGCAGTTTTTTGTCAACAATATTTTATATTAACCCCTTGTTACTCTTCAAAAGATATCTTGTGGAAACACGAAAGGTTCCAAACATATATAAAGGAAAAATTGTCAAGTTAGCCGATGTAGGACTCTAATATGCCCCCTCGAATGGAGGCTATATGGGCACAAATTGTCCCAGTGTATGAAGAGGGGGCTTAGAAGTGTACAGATTGTACAAAGTGTAAGTCTCTATAGTGGTAGACGTTGGTTCTGGTATCATGTGTGGATATATATTGAACTCCCAAATTACTATCTAAAAGATCCCGAGGAAAGATGAGAGATTACAACATATGAAGAGGAAAAATGCTCCAAATCTAGTCAACGTGGAACTCTTGTAGATGTAGGACAGCAGAATGTTCCATTCCCTATATTGAACCCCAAAAATACAAATAGTTGACTAGTTGTACAATAAATTGACCACAAATTTACCTTTGTTAACAGTAACGTTCCAAAACTTTTGATTACATTGCATAAATGAGATAAAATATAATATATGTTAAAGAACAAAAATGGGCTAAACCTAAAATGATTAACAATTTGAAACAAAACATAAACCATTAATAATTTGAATCTAAAACTAAACAATTAATGGTTTGAAACTAAATAATTTCGCTATAGTTTTACATAGGCCGATAAAAAACCCTAATCACATGTAAATTTGGGTCCCAAAATTTCGGGGGCCTGTTCAAAATCTCACATTTAATGTGCTAAGGGACGACCCTGCTTGTTAACTACATAAAACCTAAATCTTTTAAGAATATAAGATTAAGCCAACTTCCTTAATTAACAATACAAAGTTAAATGCTCAATTCATAGTTTTTATTACAGATAAAGGAAGAATGAAAAGCTACTTCAATTCATTAATCCAATTTATTTGCATTATTTAGAATCCTTATAGCTGATATAGTTAATTATCTGGAGCATAAGAGGTAGGGATTAAATGTAAGTGAACCTTTTTTGCTGCTAACACTCCCTCTCCCTCCATCATATCAATATCTAAAGGATTTGATCCATCCGCAAGTTTCCAGTCGAAATTGTATAGCATTTGAGCGAGGAAAAGCTCGATCGATGCCAAACCGAAGGTTATGCCCGGGCACATTCTCCGACCGGACCCAAATGGAATATAGTGATAATGAGTTCCCTTGAAGTCGACTGAAGTAGTTTCAAATCTCTCTGGCCTGAAGCTGTCAGGATCCTCCCAGAACTCAGGATCAGTTGAGCATGCCCATGCATTGATCATAACTTTCATTTTGATGGGTATATCGTAACCACCAATTTTGCATTGCTCCCTACATACACGAGGGAGTAACATAGGGATTGGGGGGTGAAGCCTTAGAGTTTCCTTGATTACACACTGCAGATAGCTCAAACTTTGTATGTCTAACTCTCTGATTTTTCTCTTCCCCTGAAAGGCTTCTCGCACTTCGTGTTGCACCTTCTCCATCACGCTCGGGTGTCGTATCATTTCCGTCATGGCCCATTCAATTGTTATCGAAGACGTATCAGTGCCTCCTGCAAAAATGTCCTGCATCAATGTAGAAACAAATGAACATGGGACTCTATATCTCACCATTATATGCACATGCACTCACGTGTTAGTTGTTTCACATAAGACGATATTTTTCTTTTTATGGGGGGTTCTTGATTTGTGCATCTGGGAACGTACTGTAACAGACATTGATAAATGATAAGTTATGAACTTACTACGAAAATGGCTTTAATATTGTTGTTTGTGATGGGGAACTCAAGACCACCTTCCTCTTTGATTTTAAGAAGAACTTCAAGAAGATCTTCCTCCCATGCCTCCTTGCCGTCTCTTCTTTTACCCTTGTGCTCTTCGAAGATGTCGTCGAAAATCTTGTCAAGAGTCTTGTGCAGCTTCGTCAACTTTGATCTCAGTCCAGAAACCACGTAAAGAAACTTGAAATCAGGAAACAGATCCGCCAAATAGAACCCGGAGTTTACTCTTGCAAACTCATTCAGGAACTCATTCAGAATTCAAATTCCGAACGTGAAGAAAATGAACAAACCATTCATATTGGTATGTGCTCATATATCATTCCTTTTTCCGTTTAAATGAAAAGTTGTTACCTTCGATAATTACATGCTTTCATGGCTGCAATGAATGTTGTTGACATGTTGAACATCGTCCGTACATCTTTGTGTTTGATATGAACAGGAAATACATATGTTTTTCTGCTGCACACACGAACAAATCAAGAACGGTTGAATTTAACTCCACTTGTCTATGACACAAGTATGAATAATGAAACTTATTGTGTTCACTCTGTTTTTATATCATAAATATTCAGACCTGTAATTATTGTATTGAAAAGTGCTCTGTGTGTCACCTAACTGTCCATGTTGTCTTTGGGTTTGGGAGATATATAACTCATTTAAATAACTGTTCGTTACATAGTGCAACAATTTTATTATCGTTCTTCATGAACATCATGAACATGAACAGCTATTGTTCGTTACATAATAGTCTAAAATCAACATGAACAACAACTCATTTGTAGATATTGATTCTGTATACAGTAAAACAAGTTCAAGATATATGAATGAACAGCTATTTTTCATATATGTATGAACAAATTTGAATCAATGTGATATCAATTCTACAATTATTAAAAGGATATCAAACCTGTTGCGATAACCGTCTGATCTCTTGGTTGAGGATTACAATAAAAAGGATATCGAAATGAGTCTTGAACTTGAATACGAAGATGGAATTTGGATCTTTCACATCGTAGATCCTTCCTAATTTCTCTTTCAATTCAGCCTTCAACAAAAGTAAAAAAACAAAAAGGATGGTTTTTTCAGTTATATAATCAGACATGGTATATCATATGAAAACATCTCAAATATTACAAGACAAACTCTGCTACTTTGATTTAGGTAGATATAACATTAAAGAAAAGAATCAGTTGCAAAGATGTTTCAACTGAAAGAATGCAGAAATATACACGAAATGGAACTTTATTGTCCAAAAAAACATAAAGGATTCAATTGGAATGAAATGATTGCTTTATGAAACACCTATTTTCTATGAAATTATGAAGTTACCAGCAGCATATTCCACCTTATAGCATACTTCTAAATTAAAATACATACTTATATGGGTGATAATTCCAGATAGAGTTGCATATTAATTAGTAGGTGTCGAACCTTGGAGACATTTGGCCGTCCAGGATGGAGCACATCAATTACCTGCATAAACAAACACAATGCGTGTGAAAAAAAGTTAAACTTTAAATAAACTATTAACATTACTACAGATTAAAGGTTGCAGTTGTGCAAAGAACTCACAAATTGCTTCATGGAAAGAAGCCTGTTTGTCGTGAACTTCCTTTTACGGATAGTCACTGCCTTGGTGTCCGCCATTTTGACTGCTGAATACAAATTAATCCAATGAAAAGTGAAATCCCTCAAAACTAGTCATCAATTTCATCAAAAATAGAAAACATATCTAAATCAAATATTTAGCTTAATCAGAGTTTTAACCCTGAAAAGGTACTTGAATCAGTAACGAAATGCAATGTTTCTATTTCGCGTAGACAATACAGAACCGCAATTCATTGATAATAAATTCATGATGCCTAAATATACATGATTTTAACCTGTATAATTGAATCGATAGGTTACATATCAGAATATACATTCCCCTATCTCCAAATAAAATTTTAAATTTAACTCAAACAAAAAACGAAAAACAAACGTCATACAAGTTGGTCATAGTTGCAGGATTATAACAGATGCGTTCAACAGATCATACCACCGTGAATCTTACTAATTTGTGTAAAAAAATGTCTTTGGCGTGGAACGAAGCAAAGGTAGACAATTGATAGTCCTAGCTATGAAATTAGGGTTGAATATATAAATAATCAGACCTGAGATTGTCAACTCCGGCGACGACGACTGCGACGGCGGCTCTACCTCTTCCTTTTTGCTCAGTCGTCGGCTCAGGCAAAGAGGAAAACCGTACCGGCGGGTTATGAACGTATTAGTAGTAACTAGTAAGATAACACATATGGGATTGGGTTAACAACATGAACATTAACAGATGTTGTTCGTTACATAATAGTCTAAAATCAACATGAACAACATCTAATTTGAAGATATTGATTCTGCATATAGTAAAACAAGTTCGATATATATGAATGTACATCTACTTTTTCATATATGTATGAACAAATTTGAATCAATGTGATATCAATTATACAATTATTAAAACGATATCAAACCTGTTGTGATAACCTTCTGATCTATTGGTTGAGGATTACAAGAAAAAGGTTCAAATCTTCATTGGTTCTCCTATTTAATCATAAGAGTACTGTTAAGAGTAAAGCGTATACAGAAGAATCCACTTTTAAGTCTATAATACCAGTTAATGAAAGTTAGTTCCACTTCATCAGCCTCCCCAAATATAGACTTCCAAAATTATGTGAACATTAACAACAAATAAAAAGACACAAGAAAAAACCACGACTTTTTAGAGTACAGTAAGATAGAACGAGTAAATCAGTTGTTACTTAGGAGAAACTGTGATTGGGGTTGAGAGATATATAACGTATTTAAAAAGCTATTCATTACATAACACTCCAATTTGTAGATTGGTTGAACATGAACAACATGAACATGAACAGCTGTTGTTCGTTACACAATAGTCTGAAATCAACATGAACAACAACTCATTTGAAGATATTGATTCTGCATACGGTAAAACAAGTTCAATATATATGAATGAACAGCTACTTCTTCATATATGTATGATCAAATTTGAATCAATGTGATATCAATTCTACAATTATTAAAAGGATATCAAACCTTTTGTGATAACCTTATGATCTATTGGTTGAGGATTACAAGAAAAAGGTTCAAATTTTCATTGGTTCTCCTATTTAATCATAAGAGTACTGTTAGGAGTAAAGCGTCTCCAGAATAATCCACTGTTAAGGCTATATAACATGAAAAGTACCTGTTAATGAAATTCAGTTCCACATCATAAGCCTCCCCGAATATAGACTTTCTGAAATTATCTGAACATTAACAATAACTGTGGTATCTACTAAACAAATAAAAAGACACAAGACAAAACCACAGCCTAAAAAAGCAAAACGAACCCGATATATATATCATACCGAGGTTGATGTGTAAGATGTATGCGGGCTGTCTCAAAGACAAATTTAACTGTAAATATTTTATGAACGATGGGAATCCGATATGTATGATTTTTTACGATTGTTCAACGTTATGTTCACTCTATACATTGATATTAACTACCTACTGTGATCGTGTCAGGAGTTTTCAAAATTACATGCCCAACATAATTGATATGGAACCTTGCATCACTGTCCTATTTTTTTAATTCTCTAGTTTGTGTAATAACAAGTTTAGTTTTCAAGACTAATTACGTCTTTACAAGCAGGTTCTGATGATCTCACCCCTCCACATACCGATTTTGAATATGATATTGGTGAGACCTCAGAAGGAAAGAAGTTTTTTATCCCAAATGTCGATGACACACTCAAGCCAAAGACGAATGCACAATATGAAACTTTAAACGATGCTGAAAAGGTGTACAGAGATTATGCGGACAAGGCCGGATTTGATGTTCGTGTACATGCAAAAAAAACGAACAAACATGGAAACATTCAAAATAGATGGTTTGTCTGTAGTAGAGAGGGAAACCCAAAGAAAAGTCAATTTAATTCTTTGGATATTCAGCCCGGTGAGAGGAGATATCGCAA